GCTGGACTCACCCCCGCGGCTCCGGCCGGGCACAGAAAGGAGGGGCGAGGCGGGGTTTTCATCCAAGTATGTGCATCGGAACTTTTGCTTTTTCCTTTTTTTTCCCCCCGCCCTTCTTAAAAGCAAAAGCTATAATTTATAGGTCTTTTCGATTCGCAGTGTTCTCTATTTGAACTCGACATTCAAACTCCGCCAAAGGGGGAGGGAGGAGCGGGAGTTGGGAGTGGGGACGGCCGCGGCGGGGAAGGCCGTACGCGGCGGCGGGGCCTGGGACGCCCCTGCCCGGCGGACTTGACCGCTCTGCGCTCCGAGGGCGCAGAACGTGCGCCCCTCTTTTGACTCAAAAGCACAAATCAGTCCCCTCCACTCCACCCCCGTCTCTCGGAGCAGGGATCCCGCAGCCTCCCTGCCCTCCCCGCCCTTAAAGGGCCAGCGAAGATCTAACTTACCATTGCTTGTAGAGGGAGGGGCGCGGGGGCCCTGAGCGCCAGAGGAAGCACAGACTCGGGGCGAGCGAGGCGGGGAGTCGGGGGTGAGGGAGCTTCGCGTGGAGTGGGGGGTGCTGGGAGGGAACCCAGCCTCATCCTCCGCACTCCCGGCTTCTCAGCCTCTCTCTCCTCCAGACTTTCTTGCCTTTAAAGAGAGAAAAGGAGGGAAACGGTGTATTACATGATGGTGTTTGTTTTTGAATATCAAATTGCGCCTATAAAGAGAAGCCCCTGGAATGGGGATTTTTATCTACTCACATTTGTAAAACTGGTATTTTAGACTTTGTATAAAGAAGCGCCGTTGACCGAGTGTATCTATTTAAATGTCGATGCTATTTTCAGATGAAACTTCACTGAGGGGGCATGTCTGTTACCGAGAGGACGGGACTGGGGGACACGCGTCTTCACCTGGCCGCCGCCTTCCCTTCTCTCCCGCCTGCCCTTTACTCCCACCTCCCTCCCTTCCTGGGGCTGACTTTGCCCCTTCCCTTGGACCTTCCTCCAGCCAGCTTGGCTCTGTCCCTACCACCCCTCTGTCCTGCTGTTTGTCCATGGCCGTGCGTGTGTGTCTCCTCTCGCTCTTGCGACGCTGACCTGGGGGGTGGGTGGGCAGGGGCCGGGGGCCACGTGGCTGGGAGTCTGCAACCGCGCAGGATGTGTGCGCTGTTGGGTTTATTTGATTCTAAGATTTGTACAAATCTCCAATCGATCTCCGCCTCAGCCCAAGAGTGAAGCTTCGGTACTTATCTTCTGCGGTTGTGAATGTCTGTATCCAATACCGCTTTTTACGTGTTTAAATACATACTTTGTAAATAGAGACATGGCTTGGTTTTATTCTTCTTTTTCTTTCCCTGAGCAAAGGGAAGAGGCATCCCAGGAAGAGAGGATCCGTCCCTCTTCTCTCAGTACCCATCCCATCCTCCCGCCCCCATCCTCTCCCCCATCGGCGGGGAAACGGTTCCTGCAAAGGCCCTTCCCCAGCTGGGGAACCCACCTGGCTGGGATAGAGGTGGGCGTGGGAGGCCGTGGCGGCTGACTCTCCTCAGCCCGTCTAGGGGAAGCCGTTTGGCTCTCCGCGCCTACTGGCTGCACTTCTTCGGGACCCGGGCAGTATCTGGGGACTCCGGAGGATGCGCCTGAGGTCGGGGGTTCACCTTTCCTCTGACGGGCTCCTCCAACGCGCCACACCCCCAGGCCGGAGGTGTCTGGTCTCCGAGGCCCCGGGGCCTCGCCGCGTTGCCCACAGCCTCCCGGGCCAGCCCCTCGGAGCTGTTGTGAGACCCGCTTTCCAGACCCACCCAATCCTGCTAGCGCTCCCCGAAATGCAGAGCCTCGCGCCTATTGATTGAGGAATTGAATTCGCGGGTATTGCTAGGCAACTGCCTGCTCGGAGCCGGCGCAGAGCGCTGCTGATGTGATTAGTGAACCTGGCGCCGCGGCGCCGCAGCCCCGCGCACCCCCGCCCCGGAGTCCCCGCAGCCTTTCCGGCCCAGGTCTCCTAGGTGGGCCTAAACCCCAACGCTGGGCAAGGGACGGTGCGGGGAGATCAGAGTGCGGGGTGGGGGTGGAGAGGGAGATGTTCTTGGCCTTTTCTGGCCACAGACTTCACAGCAGTGGGGGCGGGGTCTTGAAGCCCGCACAGGAGAGCCATCTGGGATCCCCAAAGAGGCCACCGCACTAAACCCAGTTCTACTTCCATAGTACCCGGCAGACGTCACCCTGCCAGGACGCCGCGATTGAGGCTCACCCGTAACACCCACCCGGAGGAACATGGACAGGGGTAGCTCACGCATCTCCAGCCCCTCGCTGAGGAGTCAGTGGCCCGGCCCTTGGCAGATCTTCCCCCTTCCCAGCTGTGACCAGTGTGGGAGGGCGCGGGAGGACAGGAGCGTCCTGGCGCCCGGGCCCAGGGCAACGGATCACAGAGCCTTGAGTGCCCTTCCGACGTGAGGGCCTGCGCTGCCGGCCGAGTAGGGTAGCTGGCCGCCAGGTGTCAAAGATCTCAGCCCGAGCCTGCCCCACCGCAACGGGTGGTCTCTGTGCTGGCAGGGGACATCAAGAGAAGGTGGGTGGGGTGACCCAGCGATGGTCGCCGCTTGGACAGGGCTCCCTTCCGCGTCCATTCCTGGGCGTGTGGGGAGGTGGAATGGGCTCCTGCTTAAGCAGACGGGAGGGCCCCCACCCTGCCCCTTTTTTGGGTTCGCTGGCCATCAACCTCGGCTTTGAGGAGCGCCCTCACGGGTTTCCGTTTCCTGGGCAGATTCCCTGGGAGTCCCCCACAACTGCAGAGACCAGGTGTGCGTGGCGGCCTCCAGCCGGACTGGTTACCCTGCGTCCCGAGGACAGGGCCGGCTAGTGCGGCCACCGCGGCGGGAAACCTGGCCTCGCACAAACGTTGGTTGGGTTGGAAGGTTCATGCTCTTCCTAGAGTGTTGGATAGGATTCATTTTCCGTCCCTTTGATGCTGGCTTCGCATCAGTCCTGATCTAGGCACTGTGCCGTGCGCCCGGGCCGCCGGCGCACAGATCTGCCCCGGCCCTCTGGGGCTCCTGTGCCGGTTTCCTCTTCTCATCTAAAAGCCCTCCAGGCCGAGAGGCGTGCTGTTCAGCGTGGAAGGCGGTTGCCCGCAGCCGCGGGTCCTGAACGCGTAGAGAGAGACTGCGGGCAGGGTCGGGGCTTTCCTCCTGAAACTTCGGAGGCGGAGGTGGCCGGGGGGGGGGTGCAGGTGGTGCGATGCAGTCCCGGGCACCCTGGAGACGCGGCTGGCTTTTCCCTTGTCGGTCCGAAGGGCCGGCGGCCGACCTTGGTGGGATGCGCGCGCCCTCTACAGGTGGCGGCGTCGGCCCGGGTCGCCCGCGCCCACCCCTTACCCCCGGGGGGCCAGTAGCTTTCTGGTTGCGAGCCCTAACTGAGAAAGCCTTATCTACCCCCCACCCAACGGCACCGCTGGGCGCCCACCACCACGGGCGCCCCTCTGCGTCCTCCCTGAGCCCCGGCGCTGGATCCACGAGGGCGGAGGGGAGGAAGGAGAGGTCTACACGCCCGGACCACCGTCCTCCCAGCCCCTCCGCATCCATCGCTCCCGGCGCCCGCGGGAAGGTCGCGGCGGCTTGGGGCCGGGCCCTCGAGCGGGGTCGGGCCCTTGGCAGCCCAGTCTATTCTTCTGAGGGGGCACTGGATTAGGCGATCACATCAGCGGCGCAGAAACTAACAAAGGCCGAGCGAGCTCGGCCCGGCACCCGTCTGACCGAATCCCCGTAGAAATGGGCTCTCCGGAAAGCCTGGCTCCGCATCGGGAGCCGCGCCTGCCCCTGCTCGGCCAACTTGCTCCTTCCTGGTGGTCCCAGCCCCTTTCTGCAGCCCTCATAAGCCAGAGGACAGGCTCGCTGGGGTCGCCCCTGCCCACTTTCTCCAAAACAAAACAGCCAGAGACTTGCGAAGGCAGCAAAAGAGAGCCCACCAACAGTCTTCTTTCTCTGCAACAGTCTGATTTCGAATTCGCAGGCCTTCCTGGAGCGGACTAGCGCTGGGGGTCACATTTCCATTTGTGGGGGGAACGCTTTCCTGAACCAAAAGACTCAGGCCTTGGCCCCAAGTAGCTTTTCACCCAGTGACCGCAACATCTAGGCCCAGCTTCCCTCTTCACTTCAAAGAAACTCTTCTCCCTGGAGGCTGGAATTTGTGAATAAATTCATGCTGAGGTTGGTGCAAGACTTAAGGGGTCGGGGACGTTCTATAATAAGCAAATCACCTCTTTTTTCGCGAGCCTTGGGTTAGGAGTTGCAGTAGCTTCTAACTCACAGTGACTCCTCTGGAATTTTATGGCTGCCTCCTTGTAAAGCGTTAGCACATGTGGTGGCTTCAAGGGGTTGAGTGGCTTTCCAACATAGCTTCTCTGGATATTGTGGGGGCGGGGAGAGGGAGAGTTTTGGTTTAACTTTGAATGTCTCTGGAAGGGGAGCAGTCTCAAAAATGAGTTGATTATACATTGCAGCATCCCTGACCTCACCTAACAGATGCCGGTAACGCTGCCCCTGCCCCCAATCCCTGCCATTGTGTTTTTTCTATTTTTCCCATTAATTCAGTCTCTCAAACTCAGCACTACTGACGCGCTGGGAAAGATCATTTCTTTCTGTCATGGAGACTGTCCTGTGCACCTCAGGACATCCAGCAGCACATCTCTGGTATCCACACACTATATGCAAATAGCACCCACCCCACAGCGTGACAACCAAGACCTCCAGATCTGCCAAGGGTCCCCTGCAATGCCAAATTGTTCTCCGTTGTGAACCACTGGTATATGGACTCTTAAACCCCCATCCCTTGCTTGGAAACACATGTTTTTCTGCACCCTCTGCAAGCGGCCAAGCCTTTCCCAGGCTTTGATTTTTCTGTGCCACAAGTATTCAGCCCATGTCCAGACGAGTTATTTTGCCTCAAGAAAGGAAAAGAGCAGAGTCTATTGTGTTTCCAGGGATCACTCATGATGTACACCAGGCCAAAAGTTTTTTAAAAAATTTATTGATATACTAAGAGATAACAAAAGGACAAAAATCTTCTGACGCCATTTGCTGTCTTTCCCCTGTAAAATAAATTAACATCAGTCTAAAAAAAGAAAAAACTCTGCAACTTTGCTAGTTTTCCAAAAATGCTAGAAAATCAACAGAATCATGGGATGCACTTGAGTAAAATCTGGTCGTCTAGGCACTACCTGTCCCCAACTCCATTCCCTTTCCCCACACCATCAGGGGCTTTTTGGGGGAAACATTTCCTTGAACTGATTGATCCTAATTAAATGTGGGCCCTGGGCTGCTGTCCTGTTTCAACACAGATCCTCTCCTAGGGCAATAACATATCTACTTTTGTTCTCTTTTAAGAAAGCAAACAGCCATAGTTGAAAGCAATTAGAAGTGGCATGCATGAATGATTTTTTTTTTTTTTTAAATTAAAAAACACAAATCATGCCAGTGATTGGCTTTGGTTCAAAGCTTGATCCTCCCCCAGTCTCCCCTTAATGAAAGCTCTGGGCCCAGAGCCCTCTCCAACTAGGTCAGAATTTCGAGCGTAACCAAAACAAGGAACACTCTTTTTTGGTACAAAATATATACATATGAAAATATGCCAACACCTCTAAGGAAGACAGACTAGCCACTGCTTCCTATTCAATACAGGAGCAAACAAGATGGGGTTAACACACCATTACACACATACACACTGCCACAGTTCCTGTGGGACCTTTGGGAAAAAAGCAACAATGCATCTTGTCAGATGTGCCAGACACCTAGCTACACAAACACACACACACATAAATAGCAGCAAATAAAAATAGAAAGTCTACTTTTATTTATTGGTAAACGTAAAACAACCAAGTCTGAGCATTTGGTGCAGTTCCCAGTGGTGGCCCTTGCCCTGCACACGTGCACACGCTCTTGAAGCACCAGGAAACACACACGACACAGTAAGAAGGCAAAGTGGCTGGGAGTAAGGTATCTGCAGATTCAAACTTTGGGATTGAAGTAGCTGGTAAGCAGAAAGGCACCGAATCAGGGTCTGGAGAGACCTGGCTGCTGGGGAGGACAGGCAGCCAGGGACAGATCCTCATTTCTCCAACAGCTCCTGGAAGGACAGAGTCACCCCAAGGGCTTGGAGAGCTGTTAGTCTGGCTTTGGAGCGTTGAAGGTAGCACAGCGCTCCGCAGGAAAGAGTCACAGGCTTGGCTGTCTGGACACAAGGAAGCTGGTGCCCTACGCCCATCATGCCAGGATCCATGCCTCCTCCTAGGATGCACGGTGAGCTGGAATCTCTCCCTCTCCCATTGGGAGCAGCTCTTCCTTACTGTCTGCTTCCAGCTCTGGCCTAGCTATGTGGGACCCCCAGCCCTTCAATTCGCCGAGGTGGGCACCATTCCTGTGGCAGCCACCACCACCACTGTGGGCTGGCCCTCAATGAAGCCATGGACATGGGTCCCTCCCCAAAGGCACACTGTTAAGATCAATTTGGCTACACCAAGGCCACCTCTTCCTATTTGGCACGGTGAGGTACTGGGGGTGTCTTGCAGTCCGGTAGGCCTGTCCCCCGGAAAACAGAGCCCATTCCCGAAGTCTGGGCCGCTCCATGGAAGGGTAGCCTTCCCTATAGTCAGGCACTGGAATACAGCCCCATGCCTGCCCGCTGACTCCATCCAATCAGAGGAACACGAAGTGACCACCCCACCCCCTTTTGTTTTTGGCATCACAAAGACCCAGTGACCAGATTGCCTGCCGCTGCCACCTCTGGGCTGCCCTGCCTTTCTGCCCAAGCTGCTCTCGGAACAGAAATCCTGATACTGGTCAGAAGCCATACAAGGTAGCTCCCAGCTGTTGCCACCTAGAGGTGGCTCACAATCTTGAGTTAACAGGGGCCTCAGGGCCAACGCTGAGAGATTCAGCTTCCCAGGGCCCTCTATCAGGTGGGTCCCCTAGAATTTGTCCAGCTTCCCAAATGGTACAGGTATAGTTTTTCAGCTGGAAAGGAGCCAAGCAGGCAGCGCCTAAAGGTGTGGGGGATTGTCAGGGAAAGTGATATTCCTTAAGGAATGCCTCATCCACTTGGGCAGGACCCACAGCACACACCTGCAGCACAGGCAGAGCCGACAGACGGGCCCATCGACTCGCAAGTGCCAGCACTCCTGTCCTCCAGGTCTCCGGGGCAGTCTGTGGGCCATTAGCACGAAGCCAGTCCTTTATTAGCAAAAGGGAGATGCTGGGAGTGGAGGGAGGGGCTTGCTTGCCAAGGGTCCTGCCCACTGGACTCCCCTGGACCTGAGCACCTCCACTTTGGGTTTTCCTTGGGACACTGAACTCTGGGCTTTCTAGAAATGGAACATGCTTCAGTGGGCCTGGGGCATGGGGTGAGTCTGGGTTTGGAAGGGGACTCGGGTCACTTCTCATTGGGACACGGGCAGGAAGGAGGGCGGCAGCCACAGCCTGCCTCTCCTGCTCCGAGGCGTGGAGGCTCTTCGGGTGGAACCTAGCTGTGGGACCACCCCCTCCCCACCCATGCTGGCTCGTAGGCTGTTTGGGGGCTGTGGATGCCACCCTGAATTGGGGCTAGATGGCCACAAAGCCAGCCTTTTAGGGCTCCTGGGCTTGCTCTACTCTAGCTGCCTGCCACTGTCCTTTCACAGTAAGGCCCCAGCCAGCCCCCAGCTGTCAGGGGCAAGCTCCCCACCTCACCACTGCGGGTTCAAGCAATGCTAGCCAGGCCCGCCCCTGCTCATCCCATCTCCCAGAAGCTGCCACCAGGTGGAGGGAACACTAGTCCCACTGGCCTTGCCTCCCCCCAATACTCTCTGCCTACCCCAGGGCTGAAAGCGAGACACACCAGATGCCCCAGCTGACACCTCAGCCCCTGCAAGACAGGGAGCAAAGCAGTGATGCCGTCACACAGGCCAGTGAGGAGCAGTTCAAACGCAGCCACGAAGCAGCCTGCTCTGTTCAAGACAGTCACCTTGAGCCACAGGTGCCACTGTGTTTCCTGAGGCAAGAGGCGAGAGCGAAGAGGCCTGCAGAGGTAGGAACACAGTGGAGACCAACAAGGCAGCGAGACCCCCTGCCCTACCTCGCGTGACAGGGCAGGATGAGTGGAGAAGCCCCTTCCAAGTCTGCCCATCAAGGAGACCACCCGCTCCTCCTCCCCGACCCAGACTCTTGAGGGTGCTTGGGCTGGGAGTCAGTTAGCCAAGCAAAACCACAGGCAGCGAAGGGGAGGAAGACTGGGCAGCTGGTGGCGCGGGGGATTCAGTAATGCCTCAGGTTGAAGAAGCCCACGCTGGTGGGAGACTCCTTCACTGTGACGGTGATGAGGTTGGCAGTGACGTCAGTGACAAAGACATGCTCGATGAGGCTGCGGGTGGGCTTCCAGTCCTGGCTGGTCTGAACGGACACTGACGGGTTCTGACCAGTGCTGGGCGGCGAGGCGGAGTCCGGGTCAGAGTCCGAGCTGCTGCTCTCCTCGCCTGCGCTCATCTCCGGCAGTGTGGCTGCCTTGCGGGCTTCTCCAGGGGCTGTGCGGCTCTCCTGCCCACTGGGGGTAGCACTGCCCTTGACATAGTCCCTCTTGCTGGCAGGGGTGGGCGGCGCCACTGCTCTGGAGACCAGCTTCTCACTTTTGCTTGTGTCAGTGGGCATGGCAGCCCCGCTGCCCCCAATGAGGCCACTCCCAGTGCCCTTCCCAGGGACTGGGTTGGTAGCTGGGACACCCTTGGTGGCGGTGGCATGGCGGGCAAGCAGACCCACCCCAGGCATGCCATTCTTGACACTTTGCAAGTCCAAGACCTGGAGGCTCAGCTCCTGGGTGGGTGCTGACTGAGCGCCTGGGCACCCAGCAGGTACCCTGCTGGCACCATGGGTGTGTGTGGAACCCCCTGTGCTCCCTACTTTCTGCTCCACAGCCCCGCTGCTGGGGGCCTTCGGGATTTTGCTTCCTGGAGGACTCATTCCCAGCTCCCCTTTCTGCGTCCTCACCTTCAGGTCCAGCCCAAGGCCGCACTTGGTGGTGGCCTGGGCCTTCAGCGCCAACCTGCTGGCGGCCTGGCTTTGGGTCATGCGGTTCATGTAATGCACGATGGAGCTCTGCCAACTGATGCCACCCCGGCCGGGGCTACTGGCCATGCCCTTCATCAGGCTGGCCAGGTTCTCTGGGGTGGCCATGGCACTGGGGCTACCACAGGCCTCCTTGGCATGGGCCTTCAGAGCTGCCAGGCCTGCCACGGGGGCGCTGAGTGGAGGGGGTAGCTTGCTGGCTGGGGCCCCCAGATCCTTCCGGGCGGTCTTCAGCACCTTGGCCAGGCTCACGGGTCTTCGGGTTGCCTTCTGCTCTGGGGGCAGGGGCTTTCGTCCCCGCTTCTTCCGGATGGGATCCTTCAGCTCGGGTTTGGCCACCAGGATCTGGGCCTTCTTCTGAGGCACTGGGTGGGTGTCGCGGCCCCGGGGACCCCTCTTGGCATCTAAATCACTGTCATCCTCTTCATCCGAGGAAGAGGATGACGACGTAGAGGAAGAGGAGGAACTGCTGGACTTGGATTTGGAGGGAGCATCAGGTTCCTGAAAAAAGATAAAGAAGTTGGCTGGGTGCGGCGGCTCACGCCTGTAATCCCAGCACTTTGGGAGGCTGAGGTGGGTGGATGACCTGAGGTCAGGAGTTCGAGACCAGCCTGGCCAACATAGCGATGCCGTCTCTACTAAAAATACAAAAATTAGCCGGGTGTGGTAGCACGTGCCTGTAGTCCCAGCTACTGCAGAGGCTGAGGCAGGAGAATTGCTTCATTGAAATTGGGAGGTGGAGGCTGCAGCGAGCCGAGATTGTGCCACTGAACTCCAGCCTGGGTGACAGAGCAAGACTACGTCTCAAAGGAAAAAAAAAAAAAAAGATAAGGTGTCACACCTCCACTGCCTGCTCCCAGGGTCCAGAGCGCCATGCTGTCCCCAAGGAACACTGGGCACCTTGCAGCCATCAACTCCTGTGGCTTCTAGACCAGAGAGGCAATCAGGAAGGAGCAACTTCTCACCACGCTCACAGTTCCATGAGAGGCAAAATCAAAGGTAAAATAGAGAGAAAAATAGGTGGCTCATAAAAATGAAGTCAGAATAAGGACGGACGAAGTCCACACCATAACATCCTGGTCCACCATCAGCTTTCATGGGGAATGCAGATTTAGCTCCGGGCTGTAGAGCAGACGTTCAAAGGGAACGGTATCCAGAGCATCACAGTTATCAGGACTCAGGAGGTTACAGGTCATATGAAGTAGCACACACAGCTTTGCAGCCTAAACCAAGTGGGCTTCGGTATCCCCATTTCCCAGTCTGAGCCTTACAGGACACAGGTAAACAAACCACTGCCCTCCTCGCCTTCTGGATGTCACCCCAAATATTAAATAAGAGTGTCCTCGTGTTTCATAGGCCTCCCATGCTGCCTGCTGGATCAGAATTCTACAGCGTGAGCTTTAGGGAGTCAGATCCAACACTGCCTCCCTACCACCCCATTCTCCCGACTTCAACAGGAGTGATCTCCTCAAACCTCCTCAAATAAGGCGTCAATCACTGTCTTGTAGCCACTTCTCAAGTCGGCAGGACTTCTGCAGCCCCACCATCCTGCTTGAAAGGAAGATTTTCAAGACAATGTAAGGCCAGTATAGACCAGCCAACAAGATTCTACAGCACAGAATCCCGTTCATTCAGGAAACCCTCCTGGAAAGGCGGGTTCTGTAAGTGACTGAGCTCGTGGCCACAACATGCGGAGGTCCACGGGCAGTGCCAGGAGGAGGGAATCAAAGCAGCACCCGGGACTGAGGCCAGGCCCCCCTCCCTGATCCTGTCCTGCCTCACCTGTCCTCAGGGAAGAGAGGGGCCCTGCCATGGACCCCAGGGGTGCCTGCATACCTGTGGCGGGGTGAGCCCATCACTGTAGCGGGGAGGGGTGACAGGACAGTACCGAGACGGCCGAAGCGCATCATCAGTCCACAGTACCTCTGCCCTCCTCTAAAGCCCCTTCCGGCACCCCCTGGCTATTGGGTCAGCCCTGCCTTTACGCCCACCTCGATTTAAGGTACACTCACAGGTGGGCCTGGAGTAGCCCAAAATCTTGGGCTTGTGGGTCACATCTAGTTGGCAATCCTATGAGCACCTACTGTATGCATGCTTCCTGTTCCTTTCTGGACCCCATGGGAGTGAAGAGTGCTTGTCAGCAGCAGTTTGACCCTGCCACCCAGCAGAGAGACGTGCAAGACAGGCTGAAGCAGGAAGCCCCTGGGAGGGGCGGGGAGGAACTCTCAGCCGGCTGGGGCTCCTGGGCAGCAGAAGCTGAGAGGCAGGAAGAAAGGGGGCTCCTGTTTCCCGAGTAGAGGGACAGACTGTTGGCAGAAGTGCCACCCCCTTCCTGAGGGCCCCAAACCCTCCCTCTGCCTGCCCCCTACCCCAAGGGAGTGCTGGGAGGTGGGGTCAGTATGCCTGGCGCAGCCACCCACCTTGAGCTTGGAGCGTCGGCTGCAGGAGGACATGGCAGTGAGCTTCCTTGGCCGGCCTCTCGGCCTCTTGCCTCTCTTCCGGTTCTGCACCTCCTTCTCATGTTCCCTGAAGGCACACTTACTAGTTAATGGGGGAGAAGCCCTAGTGCATACCCCTTCTACCACATAGGACTCTATGGCTTCCAGCACCCTATTCCTGTCGGCCTGCAATAGCTTATCCTGTCTGCTGCAAACACATCATCAAATACCCAAGGCAGAGGTCAGACCCCATTTTTCGCACTAGGGTCAGTAACCAGCCATCCCATTTCATTTGGGTAAGGACAAGCTGAAGAGAGGAAAGCAACGCTGGGAAAACGATGATACCCCAGTTTTCTCCAACCTCTCTTAAGACAGCTTCCTGCCGGTGCACTGCTGCATGGAAATTCTAGCATATCCTAACCAGAAGTGGCCTTGGTGGCCACATGGTCCAACCTACTTACTTTCAATAGGAGAAGGAAGCCCAGCACAAGGAGATGCCAGCAATCCCCTGGGCAGCTGCCTATGCATGCAACCCTCACCCAGGCAAGGAGCAACATGGGCCCTGCCCTCCAGCCCTCGCACAGCCTGACTGCTGGCATATGACTCTCCCTGTTTCCTTTTTAAAAATACCTCTGTTCCTAAACTCTACTCTTGAGGGAGATAACAAAAGAGCCGAGTTCTGAAGTAGGCAGGGCTCAGTGCATGCCCCACCCTCAGTACCCCCCGAAGAGCCTCCACACCTCCTGGGTCATGAAGCGCTAGTAGAACCTCCAGCCCCCAGGGAAAGCTTGTATTTCAGGCTACTCTCAAGGGAAGGGTCCCTGGTAATTACACTGGGCAAACATCATCTCACTGGGGCCTGGAAGACAACCTCCTCAACGCAGTTCTGATCAGTACCAGGCAAAGCTCATACTCCAATTAAGTACTGGTCCTTAACCTGAAATCTCCTAAAAGGCCAGTGAAGAGTTGCATGGATCTCCTCCGCTGAAACATTAACCTGTGGACGGAGTGCTGTGAGCCTGTGCGTCGCCAAGGGCCATACCCCCACCCCCTCCAATACCAAGCAGGTAACGGCCAGCTCCCAGTGCCCAGAGGGAGCTAGCGTCTTGGTGGATGGAGAGGGCTGAACAGCCACCTTCTCCATTTTCTTTCTTCCACGATGTAATCCAAGCCACCCATGGGTTTTAAACTCTTGTTATCTCAGGTGTTTCTGCTCTAACCAAAACCAGGGGCAAGGGCACAATCTCTCTCAACTGTTAGGACACTGTGTTAGATGCAGAGAAAAGTACCAACCTCTGAAGTGGGTCAAGCCATTCCCCCACCCCAAGGCTCACAGGACCCAGACAGGAAACAACACAAGACAATGGGTTGCCATTACGATTTTCCAAAGGGATTTAAGCAAGCACAGGCTCCTCTTCTTTTTACTCACCCCATCAGAAAACTCTTCTTTCCCCACTGTCATGTCCCCTTTGGGAAGACCTAAAATGTTCTGCTACAGCAGAAAAAAGGGAACGCACCTTTCGCCACCAGAGAACAAACCTGTCAGATTGACCCTGGCTGGGAAAGACTCCGGCAACCAATTCTTCTGCCTCTATCCATAGGGCAAGTCCAGCCAGGGGAGCCAGGGGGAGCTGTCAGTGAAACACCCCACGCCTCGCCATTGCTTGAGTAGCACTCCCTGGCCCTTCATGCTGGGGTGCGGTGGGCACATCCACTGTCCTCTCCTCACCACCCCTTGCCCTCGAACATCTCAAGGAGGCCTATCTCTTAACCCAAGCTTCCTACCTAAAAATGGAAATGACATCTACAATGACAGAAACAAGTCTGGCCCAATCCGGTCCCATGGGGTTATTTGGTACCGTATGCTGCAGGCCAGAGCAAAATAAATGTTTCGTTCTTGAGAGACACCACGATAGGCATAAGCGCACGTTGTGTGTTCCAGCTCCCTCTCTGAGCCTTCTCTTGCCTGATGGCACACATGTGCAGGGCTGGAAGGGCAGGCCTGCGTCACTGTGGCAAACCTGCTATCCTGGTTTTCTGTTAGCGCCATGTGCAAATTACTCAGCAGAAAAGGCCAAGAGAAGCTACATCTTTATCTGAAGCAGAAGCAACTGGAAAAGTTGGTTTCTGCAAGTATGGCTCTCAGAAAAACCAAAGCGGAACTTACTTGGGGTCTTCTCAGGGATGGACACAGGCTGGCTGGGAGAAGGTGGGAGAGGGGCTGGCTGGGGACTTTTACAGCTAGTCACAGAGATGGCCCTGGAGACAATCTTGCTAAGGGACCTCAGACCACAGCCCCAGCTCCAGCCTCCGGGCAGGCGAGCAGCGCCCAGCACGACTCTGCAACCAGCCACCATCCCTCCCCCACGCCCTCCCCACAGTGCTGTCAGCGTCCTCACTTCTTCTGGAAGGCCAGGAGCAGCCTTGGGTCCAGGATGTTCTCCTCCGGCTCCCAGCTGTTATGTCTGCAAAGCAGAGGGCAGGGCAGCATTAGACGCCAGGCTGATGATCACGGCTTTGCAAAGCAGCCCGAAGGGGCCCGCCCTCACCGCTCCTCGACTCAGGCCGATGGCTGTAGCACCGTAGCACCATGGCACTTCTCAAAGTGCAAACCCAGGTTTTGGAGGCTGGCCACCCCCCACCAACCCAGCACTCTAACCTCAAACCCAAAGGGAAACTGCCGCTCCAACTCCCCAATTAAAACAAGGCCACAAGAGGACTCCCACAGTCTCTGCCTGGGAGAAAAACAAATCCCAATAAAACGCAAAGTTGCAGAGAGGGAATCCCCCAAATCCTGGCCTGGAGCCAGAGAAGGAAGGGAAGGCAAGTCCAGGATGCAGGGAGGGGCACAGGCGCCCAGCCCGAGATCCAGAACAATGTGGCGCGCGGGCCGGGGCACCTCGAGGGGTAGCAAAGAAAGAGCGCGGTCCGGGGAAACGGGGAAACGGGGCCGCGGGAGCAGCTGTGCACAGAGCCCCTTCCGGGGATGCCAAATCCCCTCCCTTCCATTAAAAGACAGAAAAAAAAAAGAAACCCCACATCCATCAATAGGAAGCTCAGGTTACAGCAGAGAGAATCTAGCCAAGAGGAGGGGGGCTTGCATCCCGCGCCTCCCTCCCGGCCCGGGCGGGGGATGGGGGGAGCGCGGCGCGGGGGCCGAGAGGTTCCGGCGCGGGGGGCCGCCCAGCTCTCCCCCGCGGGCGTGTAAACAAAGGGCAACCTCGGGCCGGGCGGCCTCCGCCCCCTCAGAGCCGGAGGAGCCCGCGGGGACCCCGCGAACTTCCCGCTCAGCCCGCGGGCGCCCCCAGGCCCCCGGACGGCGCGGCCGAGGGCTCCACGTCCCCACCCCCGGGCGAGGGGGCGGCAGGGCGGGCGCAGCGTCGCGGGGGACTCACTTGGAGGACCAGCCGCGCCACTTGACCAAGTACTCCAGCTTGCCCTGCGGGGAGAGAAGAGGGGCCGTGAGCCAGACGGGCGGCGGGCGGCAGGCGGCGGGAGGGGGCCGGGCGGGCCGCACGCACCTTGCGGAGCCGCTTGCTCAGGATGCACTCGGCGGCGAAGACCTGCTCGCCCACGCTGCTCAACTCCTCCATGCTGCCCGGCAGCCCGCCCGACCGCGGCGCCCGCCGCCCGTAGCCCGGCCGCACCGCCGCGCGCCCCGCCGGCCGCACACAAAGCACCGCCCCCGCCCGGCGCCGGCCCGCCCCGCGCACGCGCACCGCCTCTCCGCTCCCGCGCCCAGGCCCGCCGCCCGCCCCCGCGCGCTGCCCAAATCTCGTGCGGGCCAATCAGCGAGGGGGGGCGGGCGCGGGGCGGGGCGGGGCGTGCATTGTCCGCGGCGGGCTGGGAGTCGCGCTCCGGTGGGGGGTCCCGCGCGGGGTCCGGGGCGGGGGCCGGGGCGCGGGCGCGGGGGTGGGGGCGCGGGTGGGCCCCTGGCTGGGGGAGGAGGTGCCTAGGGGCTTCGGCTCTGAGGCGCCCACCGAGTACCGCGTGGTCCCCGGGGCGCGCCCGGCCTTGCTCCCAACTCCGTTTTCCGGGCAAAAAGCCATTGTTCTGGCTCTAAGGGAGGGAAGCGGGACGGGGCGCGGCGGCCGCTTCCTGCCCCCGCCTTCGAGGGGCGCTCCTCCGGGGCGCGCGGGGCCCCACCCTTCCCCGGCTTCTTGAACTGGCTTTTCCTCGGCGGTGGGGGAGTCGCTCTGCTTTGGACTGGAGCAAAACGGGTCGGGGGCTGGGGGAGGAAAGGAAGATGAAGTCCAGGGGAGGGGCCCACAAACCCCGGCAGCCCAGGCTTTTCCCCTCAAAAGCGAGAGAGGAAAATGCATTACCTGAAACCACCAAGCACTCTAAGAAAGAAGTAATACGAACTGCCCGGAGTTCTTATTAAACAGCTGTGAAAAGTGGATCCAGTCCCCGAGTTTTAGGGCACGTGTAGGTAGAAAGCCAGCTGCACCTTTTCTGTATTTGTTCCCCGATTTTGATGAAGTGGAGGGGGAGGGGGCGGTTTGCAGGGCTGTTCCTAACTTAGGACTAGGTCAGTAGTGGCCCGCCAGGGCTGGACAGCCGGCATCCTTCGAATCAATTGTCCGCTGTCGAAAAGGGTCAGACCACGTTATGAAAGTGGGGGTGACCCCTTGTCCTCCCTGGGATCGTAGTACGCAGGCTACCCTTTTATTTCGGTGTTAAGATTCTAATTCCATGAACTCACCCTTTAAGTTATTTAGATTTTGAATCAGGACAACTGAAACATGTAATGAAAGAGATAGACCTGAACCATAACTTGACTCGTCTCAATGCAATCTAACTCCATGAAAGTTCACTCTGCTTTTGTTGCTTACTTGAATACAGCTGCTAAGTTCTCTTTCTGTTGAACAGATCCAAAAGTCGTTTATTGTTGTAGGAGACTGTCTCAATGTAATTGTGATCATCAAAACCATATTTATAAAGGGTTCTGCAGGAGAAATTTTTTTTTGTTTTAACAGAAAGGCCTACTGGAGAAAATACTGAAGTGTAGGAACCGATCTTTCCATTTATGGCGTGTTCTTCAGTTTCTTTGGTTAGGTAAGTTACATTCATTTGATTTCCTGGAGAGAACGTGCAAATTCAGATGTTGTTTGCAAAGAGGGCAGGAGAAAGGGAAACGTCCTTGGGGGGAAGGTGTTTGTTTACTCAGGGACAGAGGCAGTAAAGAATCCTTGTGTTGGGTTAAAACTGGCCTCTGGAGTGAAGGGATCCGCTAACAGCCTCTCCGCCTGGCTCCTTTTGTATCCCGTCTTGTGCAGCTTGGCAGTAAATTGTGGAGTTGAGGGCAAAGGTGTATTTATTGTAATCCTACAAATAGCTGGATCAGTTTCACATCACGTTTCCTTGCAGAATTCATCTTGGGTCTAAGATTTTGCCCTGGAAGTTTCCAGTTTCCTCTTTGACCCATAGTATGCTGGGATACTTGCTTGATTTCTTTTTAAATAAAAGAAGGCTTTGAAAAGGGAATGATTTCTTTGCCTAAGAAATAAATTTGCTAGAATTTGATACTAACACATTGAAAAATAAATCAGCGTCCTGGAAGGTTTAACATGTACATCATCTACCTAATTGCAAACACTCAGTTTGGGTAAAATAATATTTAGATAATTCATTTGGAGAAACAAATATGACAGATTTGGCCAGAATGAAATAATCAGATACATACTGGGAGCGTGTGATCCAAAATCTGTGGCACATTTTCTAAAAACAAAGCTGGGAGTAGGCAGAAGGGAGGAAAGACCCCAGCTAATCCAAGTGTGTAAAACAAGCGGACGTCTTCTGTTTTGACTGTCACATTTTAAGAATTATTAAGACAAGTTAAAACTAATTATTGTATTATTCATTCGACAGATAGTTAGCATGTACTATCAGGTGGGCACTACTAGATATCCAGTAGTATAAGACCGTAGCAGCAGCCCCATCTGTGGAACTTGTGTAGGTGATGGAAGTGGATGGACAGAGCCTCCGTCCACTGCGTCCAGTGTGGTGGCCGTTAGCCATCTGTGGCTGCAGAGCACTGGCAGTGTGGCTAGTGCCACTGAAGGATCGAATTTTAAATTGTATTTCATTTTAATTCATTTCAGTGGGAATAGCCACATGTAGCTGGTGGTCACTGTACCGGACGCTGTGCAGGTCCACAGGAACGAGAGGGATCTGCTTTAAACATATTTTAGGTGAAAGTAATATGGTTACATAAATTAATCCTGGAATATGAGTAGTTTACCTACGCTCACAGTTATGCTTAACTATATACGAGAATGTTTAAAACACATACAAAAAAGATATTAAAAATCCAGGCGCAGAGGAAGGCATTCAGAGAGTACAAACTTTGTATGGTACTGAGTTCCTTTCTACGCAAGTGATAAGGGCAAGTGTTAACTTATTCATGTCTGAAATACTACTAAGAAAGCATAAGTATTTTCACGCCATGCTTGTGGATCGAAAATTAAAGATGCCAAAGCAAAGAATGACTCTCTCTGAAGTCGATGGAAAAGTCAGGAATTGAGATAAATCCAGTGACCCTGGATTTAGCAGCTAAAACTAGATAACAGTAGTTACTTGTTACCAAATAGTTTCAGAAAGCTCTTACATTTTCTAAAAGTGCTGTTTCCCTACTGCCATCAGTGGCATTGGCTAAAAGGAGGAACCAGATACCACCTCCAGCCGGTCTACATGGGATGCACTCAGGATTTAGAATACATCACACATTTACATCACATTTAATATCTTATGTTATAGTTTGCCCCCAGCTCCTCTGCACATTTGCAAGACTAAGATGTGACTTACAGGCTAGCTGTATTAATGTTATGCCATTTCTTTGTGTGTAATAGGTAAATATTACGTATGCGAGACAGACCATGCTTGTGTATCAGAACTCAAGTAAAAATAAGCACAGTTCAGGCGCTTGCAGGATTCCTCAAGAGTTCAGTTTGCCTAGGGACCCCTGGACACACGATGCAAATGTCCGCCCCTGGATCCTGACCCAGGATACCCCAGAGGCAGCCCGGGGCTCTCAGCGTTTAGAACACCTTCTTACAAAGGGCAGCCTGCCCAATCCCTTGCTGTGCACATGAGGCAGATGAATACAAACTGTATCAGGTACAGGGCTGTGGAGCCTGGTCCTGCTGTTTCCCATGTTTGCCTGGGAGGGGCAAACGGGCAGGCTGTTATGGAAGTGGTGAGAGCCTGCTCTCAGGAGGCCTTCCAGGGTCAAAGGCTGGAGCAACCCCTTATGCTCCTTGGATTCCCCTCACCCTCACCCACCAGGCCACCTAGCCCATTGCAGTACACCTAAAGACAGGCTCAGGCTGGAGGCCCCCCAACCCCGCCACGGATCCTGGAGGCAGGGGGTGGTTAAGGAACACAGTTACAGGAGGTGGGAAATGGACAATGAGCTCATTTTATGATGATGGTCCCCTTGCAGGAGGTCTCCGTTACATGAAACTTTTTTTTTTTTTTTTTTAAGACGGAGTCTCGCTGTGTCGCCCAGGCTGGAGTGCAGTGGCGGGATCTCGGCTCACTGCAAGCTCCGCCTCCTGGGTTCACGCCATTCTCCTGCCTCAGCCTCCCAAGTAGCTGGGACTACAGGCGCCCGCCACCTCGCCCGGCTAGTTTTTTGTATTTTTAGTAGAGACGGGGTTTCACAATGTTAGCCAGGATGGTCTCGGATCCACCCGTCTCAGCCTCCCAAAGTGCTGGGATTACAGGCTTGAGCCACCGCGCCCGGCGAAACTTTTCTTTTAAAGGGTGTCATTTATGAGTTTTGCAATCAGATCGGTCCCTGATTCCAGTTTCTTACTATTAAAACAGTGCAGCAGTGACCATCTTTGTCTTCCCATATGCAAAGTACCAGCGTAGCTACAGAGTAGCATGCACAGACCTGTATTAAAGGGGTATGTCTTCTCTATGGGAGAAAGAAAAAAAAAAGGATACGTGGCTCTACTTTTTTAGTTAGCTATTACCAAACTGCCCTCTGAGGGTCTGCACTAATTCACACTCACACCTGGGTAGGTGGGGTTGCCTCTGTCCCCCCTTCTCCGTAACTCTAGTAATTGCAAGTGATCGAGTGTTGTCTGAGCAACCTGGTGCTCAACTGGTCCAGCAGTTCAGTGCGCATGCCACCACAGCTTTTTCCAAGACTTTTGCCTGGTGTCTGGTGCAGAATTGTTACAGTGCAAAACAGTTTTATGAGCGTAAGTTTCCAGGGTGAAATGCAGTATTTTCACAATTTAAAAAATAACAGGCCAGGCCCAGTGGCTCACGCCTGTCATCCCAGCACTTTGGGAGGCTGAGGCGGGTGGATCATGAGGTCAGGAGTTCAAGACCAGCCTGGCTAAGATGGTGAAACCCAACCTCTACTAAAAATGCAAACATTAGCCAGGAGTGGTGGCGTGTACCTGTAATCCCAGCTACTCGAGAGGCTGAAGCAGAGAATTGCTTGAGCCTGGGAGGCAGAGGTTGCAGTGAGCCAAGATCGCACCACTGCACTCTAGCCTGGGTGACAGAGCGAGACTCCATCTCAAACAAACAAACAAACAGACAAAAAAACAATACCATACACTCACAAAGCTCTAAAATCTAGGAGTGAAACCCTTACTTAGAAACAAATGGTTCAGGGATTGTAAGTGATGAGAACCAGTACACAGTTCCTAAGTGTGTAAATCGTTCCTCTCTCCTGGAGGTAGGCTCAACATCCTCTATAAATCCTTTGGGGACAACCCATGGGTTTAAAGATTGGAGAACTGCATTGCAAGACCCCCTCTAAATCGAACGCTTGTTCTATTTTACCGCCTGAGTTACTTCTTGTCTGAAAGAACCCAAACACAGAAATGTTGTTTAATGTACACACACAAAAAAGAAACATCCTGTTGCTTTTTGGTGGGAGAGTGTAAAGATCTGTCCAAGAAATTCCTATTTAAAAAAAAAAAAAGACCCTTTCTTTCACTGTTGTTGGCAAAACTCTCACGAATGGAAGAACTGCAATTGGAGTCAGGGAAGTTTAGAAGAAGGGACTGGGAAATCCTGTTTTATAGGTGAGAAGAGGGCAGCCCAGAGCATGTCCAGGTTCCCTGGGTGAGTGAGGGTCTGAGGCTGGGCTCCCACTGGGGCAGGGCGGCACCTTGCCAGTGAGGCTGCATCTCCTCCACCACCTTGGTGGCTGTCAGCTCAGCCACGAGAGTGGGGCACGCCCAGGTGACAAAATAAAAATGTTCAAGAGGGCCGGGCATGGTGTTTCACACCTATAATCCCAGCACTTTGGGAGGCTAAGGCAGGTGGATCATGAGGTCAGGAGTTCAAGACCAGCCTGGCCAACATGGTGAAACCCCATCTCTATTAAAAAATACAAAAATTAGCTGGTGTGGTGGCGGGTGCCTGTTATCCCAGCTACTCGGGAGGCTGAGGCAGAGAATTGCTTGAACTGGGAGGCGGAGGTTGCACTGAGCCAAGATCGCGCCACTGCACCCCAGCCTGGGTGACAGGGTGAGGCTCTGTCTCAGAAAAAAATAAACAAAAAAAATAAGGTTCAGGAGGATATATACTGAAAAGTCTTCCTCCCTCCCCATCCCCAGCAACCTAGTTCCCCACTCTGCAGGCAGCAAACGCTGTCTCCTCCTGGGGTCGCTTCCAGAGAGGTGTGCCTGTCCTAGCAAGAGGCCTCAGGACATTTCTCATAGCTGCCCTCCTGCTTGCTTCTTTCTATCACAGGCACAGTGGCACGCCACCACAAGCTGCTCTGGGCCGGGCCTTTTGTTTTTTTTTTTCTTGAGACGGGGTTTTCGCTCTTGTTGCCCAGGCTGGAGTGCAATGGCGCAATCTCGGCTAATCGCAACCTCCGCCTCCCGGGTTCAAGCAATTCTCCTGCCTCAACCTCCCAAGTAGCTCAGATTACAGGAGTGCGCCACCACATCCGGTTAATTTTGTATTTTTAGTAGAGATGGGGTTTCTCCATGTTGGTCAGGTTGGCCTCGAACTCCCGACCTCAGGCCTCCCAAAGTGCTGGGATTATAGGTGTGAGCCACCACGCCCAGCCGTGCTGGGTCTTTTTTCTTAGCAGTATGGCCGGAAGGTCACCCTCCATCCAATGGAGAGCCTCGCTGCCTTTGCTAAACCTCTCCGCGGTATTCTGGGGTGGGGTGCTCCATAGTTTATAGATTATTTACCAGACCATGGCTGATAGATGGTGAGTTGTTTCCAGTGTTTAGCTTCTGCTGCTGTCAGTAGCATTTATTTAAAAAAAAAAAAAAAGTTTCTCTATAGAAACGCTGTATTGCCCAGGCTAGAGTGCAGTGGCACGATCTTCGCTCGCTGCAACCTCCATCTCCCAGGTTCAAGTGATTCTCCTGCCTCAGCCTCCCAAATACCTGGGATTACAGGCACACGCCACCACGCCTGGCTAATTTTTATATTTTTTTAGTAAAGACGGGGGTCTTGCCATGTTGGCCAGGCTGGTCTTGAACTCCTGAGTTCAGGTGATTCACCCGCCTTGGCCTCTCAAAGTGCTGAGATTACAGACAGGCGTGAGTCACTGCACCAAGCCATGATGTTTATTATTTTTTTGGAGACAGGGTGTTGCTCTATCGCCCAGGTTGGAGTGCAGTGGTGTGATCATAGCTCACCACAGCTTTGACCTCCTGGGCTCATGTGATCCTCTTGCCTCAGTCTCTGAGGTAACTGGCGTTACTAGATGTGTGCCACAAGACCTGGTTAATATTTTGATTTTTGTAGAAATTGGGGGTCTCACTATATTGCCTAGGCTGGTCTTGAACTCCTGGGCTCAAGAGATCCTCCTGCCTTCACCTCCCAGAGGGCTGGGGTTGCAGGTGTGAGGCACTGCGCATCAACATGATGTTAATTTAACTCACAAAGCACAGAAGTGTTTTTGGCAGCCTCAGCTCCTGTGGCCTGGCTTGTCCTCGCTGGACTCTGTGTGTTTGGAAAGAATGGACTCCTGATGCTGGCAGGGATGGCCACTGTCTTTCGAGGCGTGTTTATAGGATATTCCTCCTTGAGGCTGAAACCTTGTACTTTCCATGTCACTGCTACATCAGTAGGAAAGGCTGCCATCAACCTCACATTCATATTCCTTCTTTCTCTCTCTCTCTCTCTCTCTCTCTCTCCCTCTTCTTTCTTTCTTTTTTGACGGACTCTTGCTCTATTGCCTAGGCTGGAGTGCCGTGGTGCTAGCTCAGCTCACTGCAACCTCTGCCCCCTGGGTTCAAGCGATTCTCCTTCCTCAGCCTCCTGAGTAGCTGGGATTACAAGCGTACGCCACCACGCCCAGCTAACTTTTATATTTTTACTAGCAGAGTTTCACCACGTTGGCCAGGCTGGTCTCGAACTCCTGACCTCAAGTGATCTGCCTGCCTCGGCCTCCCAAAGTACAGGGATTACAGGCATGAGCCACTGTGCCTGGCCTCACATTAATATTTCTTTGGGTTCAGTACAAGTTGAATCCTGCAGTCACTGCCTTTAGAGGCTCCTGTCCTGTGCGAATGCTGCTCATGGGGGCATGTGCACCCCAGGATGGTGAATCTCAGGCCTCTGAAGCAGGGGAAGTAAGACAAAGTAGTGAGATGGCATCCAGAGAGGAATGGGCGAGGGGAATTCAGGATTGAGGCGTGGTCATGAATCCTCACGCTGCTCCTGCCAGCTCTGTGAGAGGCAGTGGCACAGGACATTTGTAGGATGCCCTGGAGGAGCAGGGTGGGCAGGAACCGGACCAGCAACGATGACAGAGCACAGCGTCTCCAGGCGCAGGGAAGCAAAGGGAATGACAAAAGCACAAGCAGAGGCCCCAGCCCAACCTAGAGGACAGGGTGCTCCAGAGAAATAGCCAATAGATAGAAATATCAGCATTCAAAGAGATTTATTGCAAGGCACTGGCTGATGTGATGGTGGGGTCTGGTGAGGCAAGTCCCAAACTACAGGGCAAGCCTTCCTCAGAGGCAGCCGGGACGACTCGACAGGAACTGACGCTGCAGTCCACAGGCGGAGTTTCTTGTCCTCAATGAAATGATCAGGCCCACCGAGATTATTCGGGGTAACCTCCTTTACCTCAAGTCACAGCAGCGACTGGATTTGCGCTTGCCTGAGTACCTGGGGGCTGTGGCCTAGCCGGGGGAACACCTCAGCCTGACGGATCATCCCTGGGCTCAGCCCCTCAGTGCTCCTGCTGGTCATGCCAGGGTCACTCACGTGGCTTCAGCTTGGCTGGGGCTGGATGGCCTGGGATGGCCTTTCTTGCGTGGCTGCTGCTTGGTGCTGGCTGTTGGCGGGGCTGGCTGTCTGCAGCAGGCCAGCGTGGATCCTTTTTTCAGGGGCTCCAATGGAAGCTGAGGCCCCGTGTTTCCTGATGCCCCAGGGGCCACAGCAAGTTGCATGGAAGCCACGTGAGGTGAACTCCAACCTGTTGACCAGAGGGGTAGCAAATGAGTGACCATACAGGATCTGGAAGAATCTGTGGCCACTTTGGGGGTCATTTGTACCCTCTCCAGAGGGTAAGATCAGAAAACAGTTTAGCAACCACTGAGCCCAGCACTGCTTGGATTGTGTTAAATGAGTGGAAGAGTCTTAATTTCCTAGACTTGCAGGATGGGGCACTGGCTAGTCCCGTTGTGTGTTTGCTCCGGCTGCCCCCAACAAAGTTCCATGGCCTGGGAGGCCTGTAGGGGCTCCCAGAAGTTAATTTTCTCACAATTCTGGAGACTGGAAGTTTTAGATCAAGAGGTGGGCAGGGTTGGTTTCTTTTCTCCTTGGCTGTAGATGGTATCTTCTCCCTGCATCCTCATAGGGTCGTCCCTCTGTGCACATCTGTGTCCTCATCTGCTCTTCTTTTTTTTGAGACAGAGTCTTGCTCGGTCACCTGGGCTGGAGTGCAGTGGTGCGATCTTGGCTTACTGTTAACTCCACCTCCCGGGTTCAAGTGATTCTTCTGCCGCAGCCTCCCGAGCAGCTGGGATTACAGGCATGCGCCACCACGCCCAGCTAATTTTTGTATTTTTTGTAGAGATGGGGTTTCGCTATATTGGCCAGGCTGGTCTCGATCTCCTGATCTCAGGTGATCCACCCGCCTTGGCCTCCCAAAGTGCTGGAATTACAAGCATGAGCCACCACGTCCGGCCCTCACCTCCTCTTCTCATAAGGAAACCAGTCCTGTTGGGTAAGGGCCACAATAATAACCTTAAATTTTAACTTAATTACCTCGTTAAAGTTCCTTTCTCCAAATGCAGTCACTTTCTGAGCTGCTGGGAGTCAGGGCCTCAGCATGTGGATTTGGAGGGGGACGTGGTCTATCCCGTAGCACCTGATCTGTCCCCACCTCCTCCCTGCTTTGTGCTATGCTATCCTCATCACTTCATGACTCACATTTGTTGGTGCCCAGTGTGTGCCAGGCCCTGTGCTGAGTCTGTGTGTATGACTTCATGGAACCATTCTTCTTTCCCTGTAGCCACAAGAGGATCCTTCAGTCACCTCTGAGGACTATCACCAGGCAAACTGGCCCTTAGAGTATTAATAGGGTTTGACTGTGTCCCCACCCAAATCTCATCTTGAATTGTAGCTCCCATAATCTCTACCAGCCGTGGGAGGGATCTGGTGGGAGGTCATTGAATCCTGGGGGTGGGGTTTCCCCCCCATTCCTGTGATCGTGAGTAAGTCTCATGGGATCTGATGTTTTTATAAAGGGGAGTTCCCCTCCACACGCGCTCTGCCTGCTGCCGTGTAAGACGTGACTCGGATCCTCCTTCGCCTTCCACCGTGATTGTGAGGCCTCCCCAGCTATGTGGAACTGTGAGTTCATTAAACCTCTTTCCTTTATAAATTACCCTGTCTCAGGCATGTCTTCATAGCAGTATGAAAATGGACTAATACAAATATCCACATGGTCAGTTTCAGCTTCAGCATGAGAAGATATCATTCTATGTCTGATTGAACACCAGATCCTGGTGGTTAGGGCCCAGGCCATATGAAAAATATTTATCAGAAAACAACTCCAACCCCAAAGAATTAAATGTGTGAGTTACATGTAGGGATAATACAACTCTATGGTAGGACTGAAAAACTGGAAACAGTGTAAACCTTGAAAGAGAACAGGCACATTAGGAGCGCTGGTGGAGTCAGCTGGGGTAAACCTAGGCAGTAGGGGGCTGGACCACACCACTGTTAAGGACAGGTGGGTCTGCGTGTGTCCATAGGGAAAGGTCTCCAAGGTACATATTGTTTAAAAAGCTAAGTGTGGAACAGTATTGTATTAGCTTGCTAGGGCTGCTGTAACAAACGACCACAAACTAGGTGGCTTCAAACAGCAGAAATTGGCTAGGTGCGGTGGCTCAAGCCTGTAATCCCAGCACTTTGGGAGGCCAAGACGGGCGGATCACGAGGTCAGGAGATCGAGACCATCCTGGCTAACACGGTGAAACCCCGTCTCTACTAAAAAATACAAAAAACTAGCCGGGCGAGGTGACGGGCGCCTGTAGTCCCAGCTACTCGGGAGGCTGAGGCAGGAGAATGGCATAAACCCGGGAGGCAGAACTTGCAGTGAGCTGAGATCCAGCCACTGCACTCCAGCCTGGGCGGCAAAACGAGACTGTGTCTCAAAAAAAAAAAACCAAAAAAAACCAGCAGAAATCTATTCTCTCAAAGTCATAGAGGCCAGAGGTTTGAAAGCAAGGTGTGAGCAGGGCCCCTCTCCCTCTGAAGACCCCAGGGAGGCTCCTTCCTTGTCTCTTTTAGCTTCTGCAGGGGGTCACCTGTCACCTGCAGGCCTTGGTGCTGCTGGGTACAGCATAATTCCAGTCTCTGCCTGTTTGTTCACATGGCCTTCTGCTGTGTGTCTCCACGTTCCCTCTCCTTTTTCTTATCTAGACCCCAGTCATTGGATTTAGGGCCCACCCCAAATGCAAGACGATTTCACCTAAAACCTTTAAGTTAATTACAGCTGCAAAGATCCTATATCCAAATAAGGTCCCATTCAGAAGAACCAGTACTAGGACATGGATATCTCTTTTTTGGGAGGAATGCTATACAGATAGATAAGATGTGATTTCTGTTGTGCAAACAAAAGAGATTTGTGTGCTGTTAGATGTATGTAAATTTTCAGAGGGGAGACCCAAGACACCAACAATAGTGATTACTTTTGGAGGCAGTGGAGAGAGTCCTGATGTATGGATTTGTGAACTATTCACAAATTTTTATCTTGCACATGTATAACTTCATATAAAGTACTGCTTCCTGAGTTATCTAGCTTTTGAGGTCATGGATTACTTTGAGCTTCTTTACATTTTAATGTATTTTTTAAAAATACTAATACATTTTACGAAGATTTTTACAATAAAAGTATTCAGGCCCTGATCTTCTCTGAATATATCCTGATTACTTCATTGCTGAGATAAATTACAGAAGACTCAAACATAGAAGACCCTGTTTATGGACTGGAAGATCAGTTACTTTTTTTTTCAGACAGAGTCTTCCTCTGTCGCCCAGGCTGGAGTGCAGTGGTATGATCTTGGCTCACTGCAACCTCTGCCTTCCAGGTTCAAGTGATTCACCTGACTCAGCCTCCTGAGTAGCTGGGATTACAGGTGCACACCACCACGCCCGGCTAATTTTTATATTTGTAGTAGAGACGGGGTTTCACCATGTTGGTCAGGCTGGTCTCGAACTCCTGACCTCATGATCTGCCCATCTTGGCCTCCCAAAGTGCTGTGATTACAGGCGTGAACCAGTGCACCTGGCCAGATCAATTACTTTTAAGATATCAGTTCCCCCCAAATTAAAGATTGAACACAATCCTAATCAAAATCTCAGCATCTAAAAAGAAATAAAGAAATGGATAAGTGAATTATAAAATATACAGGGAAATGCAAAGAACCTGAAATTATCGAAACAGCCTCAAAAAAGAACTGGGTTGGAGGACTCACATGACCTTATTTCAAGACTTAAGTATAAAGTTACATAGTCAGTGCGCTGTGACTTGGCGAAGAATAGACAAATACTATTCATGGAACAGAGAAAAAATCCAGAAATGGGCCCACAGGTATACATGGTTATTCTGTTTCCAACAAAAGAAAATCATCAGGGACAGAAACCTCTTTTCAGCACGTGATGTTGGACAACTTGGTTACCCATACACATAAAAATGAAAGACCCGTGGCCCCTAATTCACATGACACGTGGCAATTAATTTGAGCTGGCTCAGACATAAACACAAAAGTGAAGATAATAAAGTTTCTAAAAGTAAATATGGGTGAAGCGGGAAAATTGCTTGAAGCCAGGGGTTTGAAACCAGCCTGGACAATAAAAAGTTTTTTTTTAAAAGTTAGCTGGTTGTGGGCCAGGCGCAGTGGCTCACACCTGTAATCCCAGCACTTCGGGAGGCTGAGGCAGGCAAATCACTTGAGGTCAGGAGTTCTAGACCAGCCTGGCCAATATGGTGAAACCCTGTCTCTACCAAAAATATAAAAAATTAGCTGGATATGGTGGTGCATGCCTGAAATCCCAGCCACTCAGGAGGCTGAGGCAGGAGAATCACTTGAAGCCGGAAGTGAAATTTGCAGTGAGCCGAGATCATGCCACTGCACTCCAGCCTGGGTGACAGAACGAGACTCTGTCTCAAAAAAAAAAAAAAAAAAAAAAGCTGGCTGGGGTGGTGCAACCAGCTATAGTACTAGCTGCTGCTACTTGGTAGGCTGAGGCAGGAGGATGCTTGAGCCCAGGAGTCCAGAAGTTTGAGGCTGCAGCGAGCCATGATTGCGCTACTTACTGCATTCTAGCCTGGATGACAGAGCAAGACCCTGTCCCTAAAATATAAAAATAAAATGAAATAAAATAAAAGGCCAGGCACCATGGCTCATACCTGTAATCCCAGCACTTTAGGAGGATGAGGTAGACAGATCACTTGAGGCCAGGAGTTTGAGACCAGCCTGGCCAACATGGGGAAAGGCCATCTCTACTAAAAGTACAAAAATTAGCAGGGCGTGGTGGTGCATGCCTGTAATTCCAGCTACTTGAGGGGCTGAGGCTCAAGAATTGCTCGGACCCGGGAGGCGGAGGTTGCAGTGAGCCAAGAATGTGCTGCTGCACTCCAGCCTGGACAATAGAGCAAGGCTGTCTCAATAAATAAATAAATAAATAAATAAATAAATAAGAAGTAAATACAAAAGAATACCTGCAACTTTTAGGCTGACAAAGGTCTCTTGGTTTCTAAAACTGAGAGTTATTTTCAAAAAATTGACAAATTAGACTTTGTCAGATTTTAAAACTTGTATTCATCAAATGATACCATTAAGAACATGAGCCAGAAAGCCTCAGACTGGGAGAAAATACTTGTAATACGAAGAACTTGTATGTAGAATATACAAAGGACTCTTACAAATTAAGAAAAAAGAAGGACAGAGAATGCCTTTTTTTTTCTTTTTCTTTTCCTTTTCTTTTTAATGGGCAAAAGACTTCAAGTAGTTCACCAAAGATGATATCTGTTTTTATTTTTAATTTATTTTTTACTTTTTGAGACAGAGTCTCGCTTTGTTGCCCAGGCTGGAGTGCAATGGTGCGATCTCAGCTCACTGCAACCTCTGCCTCGTGAGTTCAAGCAATTCTCCTGCCTCAGCCTACCTAGTAGTTGGGATTACAGGTGCCCACTACCACACGCCCAGCTAATTTTTTTTCTTTTTTTTTTTTTTTTTTTTGGAGACAGAGTCTCGCTCTGTCGCCCAGGCTGGAGTGCAGTGGCGTGATCTCGGCTCACTG